TTTTTCCTAAAAAAACATATTTATGCAAAAGTGGGACTAGAATGTTTAAACACTGAAAAAAAGAGATTTCTACCAAATGGAGCCAAAAACCGGGTTTTGAGCCCTCCGGTCAGTAGAAATCTCTTTTTTTCAATGTTTAAACATTCTAGTCCCACTTTTGCATATATATGTCCTTTTAGGAAAAAATCTCAGCTTTCGTTTAAAAAAAAAACAAAAACAAAATCGTATCCTTCCCCCCCAAAAATTAAAATTTATTTTTAATTTTGATTTTTTTTGGTCCAAGAAATTTTTTTTTTCAAAATGCTTATTTCCAATCGAAAGAGCATGAAAAAACCTTTCGAAACTGTACTCGGCCACATTTTTATGTTTCATTGTTTAAGAGTAAAAAATTATCAAAATAAACATTGCACCGTAAGACCCCTTGATCATTTGACGTGGAATCGCTCATATTATAAAAACATTCTTACACAGTTACTATTCTAGATAATAAATCCATAAATTAAATACTTTCACAATCAATAAATCATATTTAGTTTGTTACTCAACAATTAATGAATATTACAAAGAAAAGAGATTATTATCATAATTTTTACCTTTTTCAGAAGAAAGTGATAATGAAGAATTTGAAAAATATATAATTGATTTTTATACTCACCTGCAATTTTATTTGCAGGTCACGGGCACAGGTCGAAACCTGTGCCCGTGTGCCTTTGTCCAAGTCAAGATTTACGACACGTTTTCAATAGTCGTCGACCCTTCTTAATATGACTATTTAGAAGAGCTTACAAACCATCTGCACAAAGTGACCTGTGTCAGCGTGTGCCGCTAATTGATTTAATTGATTCTTTTATTCTCAAGTTTACTTATTTATGGGCAGTGTCCGAGATAGTCCCGTGAGGGGAAGCAGCTTATCCCCACCATGCGGCACACCAAGTCGAAACTGAGTTTCGACGGGCAGTGTCCGAGATAGTCCCGTGAGGGGAAGCAGCTTATCCCCACCATGCGGCACACCAAGTCGAAACTGAGTCCCGAGCAACCCTCGCAGCGGGGCGCTCGTACCCTCAAACCCTCATTAAGGAAAACTGTTAATGACTTTTCTATAGAAATATAAATTTGTTAAATAGTAACATTTTTAGTTTTTCATTGACATATTTAAATTCCTTACTTTCTCACGATTTCATACATATGTTGTTTATCAAAAAAAAGTTAAAATTAAAAAAATTTGTTATTTTTTTCAGATGCATAGAATGAAGTTAACTCTACCAAAAACCTTACCTATTATCAAATAAATATTTACTGTATCACTTAGGTTTTATCTAAATCAATTTAATGCTATTTGACCCAAAAATTGCATTATTTGAAGCATATACCATTTAACTTAATTTTTTAATTTTAACTTTTTTTTGGTAAACAACATATGTATGAAATCGCGAGAAAGTAAGGAATTTAAATATGTCAATGAAAAACTAAAAATGTTACTATTTAACAAATTTATATTTTTATAGAAAAAGTCATTAACAGTTTTCCTTAATGAGGGTTTGAGGGTCCGAGCGCCCCCGCTGCGAGGGTTGCTCGGGACTCAGTTTCGACTTGATGTGCCGCATGGTGGGGGAAGGCTACTTCCCCTCACGGGACTAACTTGGACATCGCCCTTATTTATTTTACTAATCATTAACTAAATTAATCAATTAATCAATTTCTTTGAAAAAGATTCAAACTAGAGAAATTTAATGTTCTGTTTAATATGATAATCAAATCCAAACAAAATTAATTACTTTTTTCAAAATTTGGTGTCGCTAAAAGGGAGTTAATTTTATCAGTATTATTTGACACCCCGTGTAGAAATCACCATGCTATGCCTAAAATGATTATTGGCCCTAGCTTGGACCTAACTTGGCAACCCCTTTTTATATATCCTGGGCTGGTCCTAACTTGGTACTAGCTAGGAGATCCAGTTATGACTTAGAAAAATTTTTAGGAAAATAATGTGTCAAAATTGATACATGAAAAACATGTAAAAATTGATAAATATTCTCAATTAATATTTATAAAATTAATTGATAATCATATTTGTTTAAACAATTTATTGTTTGACATAAATCAGAAAATTATACAAATACTATAAAATAAAGTTAATTTATTAATTTATTAATTCAGCAATTGTTTAAACAAATAATTGTTATTTACTAACTTTTTACACAATCAACCTAGAAACTAGCAGTTTTTTCTAATTTTGCAATAAGTAAATACTCAGATTAGTTAATTGCAAAATTTTAAAAGACTACAAGTGTCTAGACGCTTTATTGTCTTAAGAATTAATAAATAACAACAATGTTTTGTTTAAACAAATGCTGAATTGTTAAAATTATAATTTATCTTCATATTTCGCTACTCAAGTGTAATAATTGCGAAGTTAGATAAAAAACTGCAAATTTTTAAGTAATTTGTTACAAAAGTTAATAAAACAGCAAAATTTATTTATTTATTTGCTAAACACTAAGAGATATTGCAATTGGAATGTGGGCTGACCCACCCAGGTCCAACCCAGGACCTACCTGGGCTTCCTAGTTTCATTAACAAAAATTTCTAAGTCCAAGTCTAAAAAATTTTTTGCAACAAAAAATTAATGCTTAAAATGATTTAGAATAATGAAAAACGTGTTTTTAACATAAATTTTTTTGACATTTTTTTAAAAAGTGGATCACCCGCTTAATTAATTAGGAAAAATTTCCAAGTCCAAAAGACGAATATTTTTTTTAGACCAAGAAATTAATGTTAAAAATGATTGAGAACAATAAAAAACCTGTTTTTAACGAAAATGTATAGATATTTTTTTTCTTGATATAATATAAAAATACATACTGTAAAATAATTTAATTAACAAATTTATAATTTTTTTATAATTTTTAATGTATATATTAGAGGAATATATATTAATCTCTACATATACTAACATTATTTATGAATTCGCTTTTGGTCATCATTTAATTGAAAAAAATAATAATTAATTAAAACTAATACTTATTATTAATAATTTAGGTTATTTCTTTAGCAAATATTATAAACTAATCAAAATTATAATAAAGTATATAAATAAACTGGTCATAACTAGGCTCCCAAGTTAGGACCAGGCTAGAATCGCATCACCAGCCATTGTTGGTCCAACCTACACTGCCAACCTAGGACCAAGCTATTAACAGGGCAAAATAGGTAGGACCTGGCTAGGACCAATTTTCATTTTCCACACGGGACGGTCTAATTTTTTGTCTAAATATAATATAAGGAAAATAAATTGGACCAATTTGTATTTGAAAGACATAATGATTGTCATTTCACTGGTAAATTCTACTTTCTAATATTTTCAAAATTAGATTTTCCGCTATTATAAATAATATTTAAATTGTTATTTTAACTAAAATCTGTTTAATATTACGATAAATCATTTTAAAGCACAGCTATTTCATTTTATTAGCAATAATACACTGTAAAAAGAAAGGTATACTAATTTAGTACCAATTTTAGTACTAAATCGTAATTTGGTTCTATTTTAATACCAAAATTAGTTCTAATTTAGAACCTTTTTTTACAGTGTAATCATTTATGTGTTCCATTCATAATAAATAATAAATGTGAACTCCTATACATATATATGCTACACTTAAAAACCTCTATTTGAATTTATGTTCTTTCATGAGAATTCGATATAGGATAAAATATTGGAATATTCTGTAGAAATATGTGTCCTATCTTAATTTATTCAAACCTATTCTGCTTCTGCTTCTAGAGTGGGTTCACCATTTTATAATAATTTATTGCAGACTAAGTACAGTTAAAGTAACTCAGGGGATATTGCAGGGAGAAGTCTTAAGCTCTTTAATGTTTTCAATATTTATTAGTGACTTGGAACAATTTTTAATAGAAAATGGTTGCAGAGGTTTATTGGTCACTAGTATTGTAGAAATTCTCGTTTTGGCATACGCAGATGATTTGGTGCTGCTCTCGGATACTCCCATTGAGCTCTCAAAAAAGCTAGAAGCCTTGCGTCTCTATTGTCGTGAAAATAAATTAAATGTAAATGTCGATAAAACAAAAATAGTTGTTTTTTGTTTAAGTCCTTTAAATTTGGCAAAGAAACAATAGAAGTTGTAAATGAGTATGTATACTTAGGAGTAACTATTGATTCTAATTTAAACTTTTTGACGGCAATGAGAAAATTTGTCAGCACAGCAAAATCTGCGATAGGAGCGTCAATGCGTGTAATTTATGGTACAAAGGCTGACTCATGGGTGACGTATACGAAGCTATTTGATGGTTTAGTAAAAAGTAATCTTTTTTATGCTGTCGAAATTTGGGGCACAAATCATGTCGAGGATATTGAGAAAATCCAGCTTTATTTTTTAAACAATTATTATTTTTACCTCGAAATACACCAAATTACGCTGTTCGATTAGAAGCGGGTAGATTGCCATTGTCGTGTGATATAATGAGAAGAACATTAGCCTGGGTTAATAAGATATATGAAATGGATAATTCTCGGTATCCCAAGCAGTGTCTTCTTCGTATCATGGAATTGGCCCGGTTTGAACATACGCCGGATAGAGAGTTGAATTGGTATGGGTTCACCATTTTATACAATGCTTACTTTACTTAAGTTTACAGGTAAAATTTACCAACAGCTTTTGCTTCCTAAAGATAAGTTTCTGTAAAGATAATGTGTTCTCTAAGCGACTGTGATTTTCTTGATTTCAGGGGACTTTAGAGAAATCGATCATAGGCGAGGCAACTTTGTAAAACATCCTGGAAAAGTAACAATATTTCTATTCAAGAAAAGCAAGAATAGTTTGTAAATTTTGATTCATATTTGTAAATTTAAAAATTATTCTAGCATTTTTCAAAATTTAAAACCTCTTAAAATATTTAGGTTCAGATTATAGAAAAATGTCAAAATTTGAAATAAAAAATAAAATGTTTCTTGTCAATTTTATATTTATTCCCTTATATCTTTTCCTAAGTACTCGTGGTTTTTAATAAAATAATAATAAAAGAATCTTTATAGGAAGTATAATGAAATAAAAATCTATTTTTACAATTAACAAAAAACATTGTTACAGGTGATGTAGTTAACAGTACCCGGTTCTTTATGCCCCCCTCGACCTTTGTTAAATCCACCTCCTCTACCTCTTTGGTTTTCAATTTTATATCCCCTTTCTTCAAATTCTCCGTCTCCTCTGTGATATCCAAATCCTCTTCTATTTCCGTATCCTTTTCTATCTCCGAATCCTCTTCTGACCCCAAACCCTCTTCTGTCTCCAAATCCTCTCCTACCTCCGAATCCTCTCTTATTTATAATTCCTCTTCCACTAGATTCTCTCCCTCTTTCTTCAAATCTATTTTCTCTTTTTCTCCCATTTTTCTCATTCTCTTTACTCCTATTCGGACCATTTTTCGTAGCATCGCTCTTCCTGAAACGAAAGAAGCAGTTTTATTTATTAAGAATATTATAATTATGGAAGCGATTACACGTTAGATTTTAGTTGAACTTTTAAATTTAAATAAACATATTTTTTCTTGTATAAATAAAAAAAACCTTAAATATATATTTGTATTTTTTTATAGGTGGACAAATTTTTCAAATTATGAATTTTTTAAATTTTCATTGATTTATTACGTGAATGACAAAAATAATTTGAAAATAGGATATGAGTGCATCTAATAAACTAACTTGTTAAAATAACTTTTTTTATAAACAAATAAAATTGAAAGGTACTATTTACTACTTTTATTTACGATTTGCTACTATTTGGGTACTTTCTTAGATTCAAGACACTAAAAGGTACTATTTTTGTTTGTATTTTTTTGAGAATTTCCACTAAAGAACATTAAATTCATTAATACTAGAAATCAAACAACAATTCACAAAAATTATAATCAAATTCTTTAAAATGATTCAACTATTTTCAAAAAAGTATTCGGAATTCAATTATTTTCAATATCTAGAATTTTCATGAAATTTTGCAAAAGAATTCAATTATTAAAAAATGCATTTATAAAATTCATCCAAAATTCAATTATTTTCATAAATAATAAAACTCATCTAAGAATTTTAAAGCAACTATTCAATTATTATTTTCATAAATAATAAAATTCATGTCAGTATTTCAATTATTTTTAATACAATTTTATTTAAATTTTTTCCAAGAATTCAATTATTTACATAAATATTTCTTCGAAAGAATTCAATTATGTCAATGAATAACAAAATTATTCCTGAAAATTCAATTACTTATAGAGACATTTTAATAAAATTCTTTTTAAAATTAAAATATTTTCATAAATAACAATATTCGTCCCAAGAATTTAATCATTTTTAAAAGCAATAAATTTCTTTTTTGAAATTCAATTATTTAAAAAAATTCTAATAAAATCATTTGCAAGAATTCAATTATTTTCATAAATAATTAAATACTTTTTAGGAATTCAATGATTTTAAAAAGAATTTAATAAAATGCCACAAAAAAAGTCAGAAAAATAAAATATAGAATGGGATTTTTGTCAATTTAGTGATGTGTGTAAAACGATTTTTTTTCGTCAAGTTTAATTTTTCGATAGCTACTTTTTTACTATGTACCTTTTTTTAGTTTAAAAGCTACTTTTTTAAAATTAATTATCAAGTACGAAGTCTGAAATCAAAATATAATTTATTTTATTCTTTCTCAAAGAAAGAGTAAATTGAAAGATCCTAAAGTTCTGAACGTTCAAATGAACGAAATTTATTTATTTCTTCAATAAATTAAATTTTTATTGCAATTATTTTGCGTCTCTATCCAAAAAATTAATTACTGAGTTTCTAAACGTAAGATGTCAGTTTGTAAATTTTTTTGTGATTAGTAATTCATAAAAATATTTTCAACAAAAAATATTTCGTTCATTTGAACGTTCAAAACTTGAGGATCATTAAATTGAAAAAAATTAATTTCTTTATAACAAAATTGTTGTCTACTAAATAAAAAATCACTATTTCTTTGTTAGCGTTAATTAAAAGTTGCAGAAGATGTAAATATTTTTCAGGTTATAAAATTTTTGAAAACTTGATAATTTTCAAGTTATCGGTAAATAAACATAGCTTTTTTGTGTCAAGAATAAAAATCTTTAAAATTCAAAACCCAAACATTTTTTTGACTACAGAAAAGAATATGCATGTACTCTTCTCCTAAATATAATTAAAAATACAATTGACTGAATTTAAAAATCGACTAATATCTGACGTGAATTTGTTTATGTACAAATTTTTACAATCTTTTTTTATATTTCTAAAGTTAAAATAATCATTTGTTCGATTTTTAAAATTACGAATATTTTTTTATCCGATTTATTTTCAATTTTTAAAATATTTTAACTTTTAAAAATTAAATATTTTGTTTACTTTAAAAAAAATCATTAAAATTTTAGTCAATTCGATAAAATTAGCATAAAAAAATTTGGAAAAATAAATAAAAATTCCAACTTTTGAAATTCGATCAAATGGCTGTTGAAGAAAACATTATTGAAGTGAAAAATCTATTACTTTGGTATTTGAAAAAGCTACTGTTTTAGACATAAATTTCATTTTTCAAAACCATTTATTACAGATAAATTCAAAAACTTTAAATTTAAAAAAAAATTCTTACCCATTTCCTTTTTCCTTTTGATTTCTATTGGAGAGAGGATTTTTCACAATTGCGTCATCTGAAAATATTATAATTATCTAAATTTTTGCACAATGTAAATATAATAAATTTACTGCAGACATAAAATACTCACTTTACTTCCTCAATTATATAAGAAAACATTTTTTTAAAAATTGCATTTTTTTATAAAGAATACGTTTCACCATTACATTATAGTTCTCAATTTTTAAATAAATAAATTTATAAAAATTGATTAAAAATGACAAATAAATGAGTAAATTTATAAATAAATAAAGTAATATTTACTTTTCTCCTTCTCTACCACCTCTTTGTAGGCCTCAACCCTTTCGCGACGGCACCGGCCTCCGCTCTTGCTTCTTCTTCTCCTAGATGATTTTTCTGTAAACAAATAATATAATAATATATTTATTTTAGTAGTACATGAGAAAAAAAATTGTTGTTTGAAGAAAACATAATACAGAGTAATAATTAACTGCCAATTGAATAATTTTGTTAGAGAGAGTATTTGTTTACATTCATAAGAATAATCTAACCTCAAAAAAACTACATGCACATAGAATTAATCAAGCAATAATTTAATTAGATCTGCTAATTGAAAATAAACAAATTCTTCAAATATTTAAAGATATGGAAGTTTTGTAAATTATTAAGGAACTATATGCACATATATAAATAAACACAAATTTTTATACTTACCAGACATTCTCCTTTTCAAAAACACCGGAATATTATTCTCTTTTCACAATCTTTAGATCACGACTTTTCACTGTGATGCACTCTCACTTGTCAGTGACAACTACTGTTCACTATCGCATGGTAATTCTCATTTTCATGGTAACAAAACATCATGCTCCAGCACCAATAGGTGTCATTTCGATCGACAGCAAGTTTATTCAATTTCATCGGTAAATAATACTTTCCAATTTTACAAACTACGGGCACATTTAGAAACAAATATAATCCAGTTTTCGCGAGCAAATAGTAAAATATATTCCTACTCAATGTACGTTCTCATATTTTGAAAAAGTGTTCTCGTTTTTTTACAAAATTTGTCTAAATATGTAATTCGCAAAGAAACCGACATTTTAACTGGTCAGTATCGTCTTTTTTTCGGAGGGGCCCCTCACATGTACACTGACTGTGACTGTGTTAGTTAAAAATTTTCGACACCTTCCAACACTCTTTTAAGGATTGTCACTGCGGTGGTGAGGGGCAAGGGGATAGTTCCCATTTCAGTGTTGAAAACACGAAAATTACGATAAACAAATGTGAAATATAATTATGATACAAAAGAAACATAAAATTCTTGACTTATAAGTTTAAGGAATATTGTTAATTTCAAGTGTACAGATCAAATTTTTATTTTTTTTGGTTATGTGTTGTTGCGATGTTGCCACATTTTCATGTGTTTTTATGTTTGATACTTATACAATTATTACTGTTATGAAAACAAAAACTTAATTAATTATTTATTCACTAAATCTGTGGTAAACTTTTTCTAAACTCTTCCAGTTTAAACTTTTTGACATTGTCTATCTATATACAAAACCACAGATTTTTCTCTCATTTCCTTCATATTCTTTTTCAAAGATTTATCTGAGCTCCCATAAGAGCCTATGTTAAATTGCAAATTTATTTTATTTTTTTAAGAAAAAACTACGTGATAAAAAATTCTGAAAAAAATCATATGTTTCTAAAACAATATAAAGAACAAACTGTCAAATTTTTATACGTTTCTCTCATTTCCTTATATTGCCGGTGACAATCCTTAAGCAATTGGTATATTGAGGAAGCTAAATGGTCATGAAATGAACTTGTTTAAAAAAAGAAGTTACAAACAAAAAGTCAAAAGGTGGGCCAACCTTAACTATGTTCCTCTAATGCAGACGCAAGTTTTGGTAAGATACTGTTTAGTGCCTTTTTTACTCTAAGGCGTGCAATATCTTAATTAACAGCACCCACTGAATCTGTCGCACTCACACGGAAAAAAAAAGTTCACGAATCTCTCGTGAACTAGTATATCACTTTTGGATGGGACACAAAATTTCAAAATTTTCATTCACTTTTGATTAGAAATGGCGAACGTCAACGAAAAACTGAAACAAAGTTAATGAATTTTTGATGAACTGTTAAGGAAGAGTAGTTCGTCAAAAGTAGAGGTACAAGTTCACGAAAAAATCGTGAACTCGCGAGTGTCAGTAGTATGCGCAGTTCGTAATGCGCATCAAATATGGCTGATCAAGCATTCATCATTCAGTCGGTGTCATCGGTGTTTACATTCGGGAAAATTCTTTGATGAAAGTTATTATTTAGAATCAGTGTTTTTTATTACTTAGTGAATATTTTTGTTTGCTAATTTCCTTTGTGAAACAAATAATTCATAAAATGAATTAAAAGTTACGATAAGGGACTTTTTCTACTTTGCACGGTCCTGAGTTTTACAGCAGACAAAGCTAATCGTTTCGTTTGTCGAAGGACAGTGTATCTAGATTTAGCCGTGGCAGTTAGTTGTTAGAAATATTATGTTATAGGGTATAGGTACTAGGTTCGAATCCCGTGAAGCGAATTACGAATTTTAATGGCGATAAAATTGTGTATTCTGTGTAGTTGGGTGCGTAATAGGCGTCAAGTTATCAAATAAAGTGAAATACTATAAAAAAGTAGTGTCTGGAAATTATTTTTTCTTGTTTCTAGCATTTTTTAAAAGTTCACGAATTTTTCGTTAACTTTGACGAAAAGTTCGGAAACCGTACTATGTTTCTAGTGAAGGAGTTGATGAAATTTTGACGAACTGTGTTTGTTAATTTTCAAGAATTTTGTGTCCCATCCAAAAGTGATATACTAGTTCACGAGAGATTCGTGAACTTTTTTTTTCCGTGCACTTGCCCAAATTCGCATTAAGAGCAGTACTGCCCCAAAATCGTTGTGCCTGAATAAAGAAGTTCAGTATTGATTTGTGTTTTTCCTAAGTTTTAAATATTAATTAAACCAGAATTTGAAGCGTATACTAATTAGTTCCGCATTATTATTTTCATCAATCAGTTCCTTTTGAAATGTTCAGAATAGTTTCTTCGTATTCATAATAATAAAGTTAAATGTGTTTTAATACTTTTTAATGGCGTTTCAACGTATCAGAAAACTGGATTAAAACGCATTCCCAGGCGGAAATTTCCAACCGGCGCGGATCCTAGCCCGGACGCAGGTGTAACTGTAATGGTAGGGAACCACTTGCCAACCAAATGAAAACGGGCACTCTACCGATTAGTGACTAGGCCAGGAGCGCGCTGGCACCCGGCTCGGAACTGGAATTCTCCCGCCCGCTGACCGGCCGGGAGAAGCCGTTCCGTGTATAATTCATCCGGCTGGGACCTTTGCGAACACCATTTTTCTCAGTGTAATTGAGAGAAAAATTAATTTATGTATAATTATTAGGTATTATTATATTTCTTAAGGTATTTTTTTAAGGTAAGTTGAATCGGTCTATTCGTTTGGTTCTTTGTAAACAGCCAATTTCCAAAAAGTACCCCATTTTGCCCTACTCTCCCCTAAATGGTCGCTAAGAAACTGTCACTTAGCCACATTGATAGACAATAAATTATAAACAATGATTTCCAAGAAACTGACATTTAGCAACCGTTTCTAGGCAAAAAAATTGTAACCAATGGTTATAAAAAACTGACCCTTAGCAACCTTTGCTAGGCAATGAATTTTGAACCTATAATTAGTAAGATACTGATACCAACCTAAAACACTCATAACTCTATTAATTTTAATCTGATTGATTTGAAATTTTAATACTATGTTCTGGAGATATTATGCATTGATTTAAAAAATCTTACTATCTTACCCCCCTCTATTTGTCACTATAACTTTCAAATGCGACTGTTGCAGTCGATATTCCTTAAATTTGTGATGAAAAGTAACTTATTTGTAAATGATTTACCTGTTCTGCCGATACCTGCACTGCAATGTACAACAATAGGAGGTCCGCGAGGATGTCCAGCCCAGGTATCGCCTCTATTAGTTAAAAGTGAATTTTGCTGTTGTCGTACTAACGAAAGGAACTGCAATAAAGCCCTAGCCGACTGAGGTACTCCATAATCTGGCCAAGCAGTATACAACATGTGACAAACCTCTCTTGTCTCTTCAGTCTGTAATCAAAGGAGAAAAATTTTCCATTCGTTGAAACTTTTTCCAACTTTCAACACATTTTAGCCAGGGTACTTGATTAAATAAATAAATTACAATTATTCATAAATCATAATGTATAAATAAAAATATAATTATTTAGTATATGATGTTTTGTTTTTTATTTTAAATATAATCCACTTATTTATTTCTCTTTTTTAAAAATATATTAGCTTTCGCCCGACAACGTTGGGCCTCTTCAGATGAGAATTCTAGAGAATACATATAAATTCATATAAAAAGATATAAAGAATTAATTTTTTAAATAAAAAATATAATAAAAAAATATTCTATTTTGTGAAGAATGAATAATTAGATTTTTGAAAAAATTATATCATAACCTCAAAACTTACCGAAGTGGATTAATTCCTTCAATTTAAAAAAATATATAATTTACAAAAAAAATTTATTTTTTTCCAAAAGCGCATTTTTTAGCGCAAAAATTAAATGTGTATTATGCGTAAGGCATAATGGTTGCCGAATAATGTATTTACAACGATACATTCTGCTTAGCAAACACGTGCGGTTAAATTATGTATGAACAGTTATCTCTAGAGGAATGAAAAAATTTTTCTTTATATTAAAACACTTATCACTGTAGGTTGATAAAACAGGGACCTACTGTGTCACAAATTTAAAATAACCCGCGGGCCCAGTCGTTGTTGTCGGGCGAAAGCTAATGTATTTTTAAAAAAGGAAAATAAATAAGTGGATTATATTTAAAATAAAAAACAAAAACATCATATACTAAATTTAAATAATCCAAAAAACATTTACATCTATTATAAAAAGATATTTATTATTATATTAACCCCCACGTGCTGGAGTTGGGTCCTTCGGATCTAGAGGAAAAAGTATTTCTCATCTACTTCCGCTAAAGAATATTTACTTTCTGATTCATTAACTTCTAAGTTTAATATGTACGTAAATTCTTAAGCTGGGTCTGGAAACCCAGCTTATACATGGGTATAAAAAAATAACAATTTATGTGCAATATTAATAAAAAGTAAATTTGCGGTTTTTTAACATCTCCTACTATAATTAGTGGAAAACTATTTAAAATATTTTGGTAAGTGTCATAGTACAACAAATACATATTGAAAAAATCTTGCTTAATAAGACTGTAGTTTAACTTATTCAAAATTTATTTAAAAAATTTCAGTTATATGTAGATTCATTATGGAACAATAAATAAATAACTTCAAAATACATTCTAGAATAATACGAAAGTTTATAAAAAGATACTATAGACTATATAAAAAGATATATTTTTAATACACACACAACAAATTTTCAAAATTGGTTTCTCTACTTATTGCTTACAACATTAGACATGCCATGCTTATATTTTCCTTTTTCATTTATGTTTGTGTACCAAATGATTTTAATAAGTTGGTATTGGTGTACGGAACCCGCCGTTTGAGGCGCATGCATATTCTCCAAATGACATTTGATTGAATTGCCATGTTACACAAGCTTTCTTTTGTATCAAGGTACAGTGTCAGAAAGAACTTTTAGAGTTTGTAGAATAATCTTTCGAAATAGTTGTTTTTAGTGCTAAAAGTGACTAAGAACGAACTGAAAAGCTCATCTCATTGCATTACCTGTAAAGCAGCGACGTAAAGCTGGTTGTAGCCTCATTATTGTAAATCTGATAGACAATAAATCTCGAAATTGTAAGTAACTTTAATTGTCATTGTTTAAAATTTTTAAAAGTTAATAAATAAAATAATAAATAATCAGTAAACAACAATTTCTTAAAGTGGTAATTCGTAAAAAGGACATTTCGCAAAAGTGCCAATTCGTAAAAACGGCGTTTTGGTTAAATAACTAGAGTAAAGTGGGGTGAAAAAAGCCACTATTTTACTTTTTACGCTACAAAATCGGAATATTTCATTTTTTTCAAAATTCCAATTAGTGCTGAAAGCTTAGTTATTAATTGTTTCTAGATTATTTTTATTTTATTTTAGAGAATATACAGGCTAGTTGCCTTTACATTATAGCTATAACTTCAGAATATTAATCTAATATATTTAAATATTTATGTTGAAATATCATACACGGAGAGAAAAGTGCTACGAATAACGCACGAGACTAATTTTTGCAAAGGCCAGTGCTAACTTTGCACAGCTTGTGCCACACACTGATCTCTATATATAACTGGATGGGCGACTGTATCTAAAACTGCAAAATATTAGAAGACCGGAAACGCCACATTTTAGATGCCCACTTTTACACAAATGGCGGAAATTTTTGAATATAAAAGTGAAAGAAAGAAAGAAAGATTGATATACGTTTTGCTGTATAGAAAAGTAATTAACTGATTAGCAAATTTTTTAAATTTAATAATTAATTAACCGTCAATTACTTTCTTAATTAAATAATTTATTAATCACTTATTTTATTTTAAAAACTGATTAATTAATATAGTAAAAAGAACTTTTAGTATTCAAACATTATATAAACTCAAATATTATTGAAATAATATTTTTATTTTTTAAATAACAATTGATTAAAAACAATATTTTTTTAATTCGGTAAGGAAACTAAAATTATTCAGCATTACACTAATATGTGTTTAACAATACGCAAAAGTGTGTAAAATATTCTACGCAAAAAGGAAACAAAATATAACCTAAAAATATACACTTCAATAATATGTATTTACTGTTTAAATATGTACATTCATGTGAAAGGAAACACCCTTTGCTTCTTTTTTTCCACAATATAAACAAATTAACACCTTGTCTGTGTTTTATATCACAAAAGTTAAATTAAAATTATTAAAGCACTTCCCTGTCGAAAATATCTTGGACAAAGCGTGTTTAAATAGTGTTTTATAGAATGTTTATTGTGTGTCGATTATGTGTTTGTGAACACAATAAAGTGTGTCTAATCCGTGTATTTTGGAACGCTTTGAGTGTTTGGAAAACACTGAATTGTGTGTCAGAAGTGTGTTTATAGAACACACAATGTTCAGGTAAAAATACTCTTGAAACACTCTCTTCACATTCATGAAACCCTGATCTACTAATTAAACACACACTTAACATTCTCTTTACAACCTTTTTAAAGTTTTATTTTTTTATAGTAATCTGCCATTAAAAAAATATTTAAATTACAGTAAAAAAATATTCCATTCTGTTCTCGCATGTCATATATACTTGGAATGTTTATACCTGTCGACGAAAATTTGTTTCGCTATTTATCTAAATATTTACAATCACGAGGTCTCGAACGCAAGGCGCAGCTAGGAGTGGATTAGAAATCACACGCTCTACCAACTGCGCCACGGAGGCTCATGAAAGGAAGTTTAGAATTTACATATGCAACGAAGGAACTATGAAAATGTGCTATGTAACTTAAAAAAAGGATACTGTATTTGCAACAATAGTATAATTATTTTACGTATAATATACATTATATTTAACATGTTATGTTATTGAAGAATGTTAATTTTCAAAGTTAAAAGTATAAGAAAAGGCTTAAAAGTTAATTTTTAAATGAAATATTAAAGCAATAAATTTAAGCTTAATTAATGAATTTATAACAAGTGTCCTATAACACTGTGACCACTTCGGTGACCACACTGTTATGGAATACTTATAGAACGTGTTTGCTGGGATAATAATATACGAATGAAACATATACACGGAAAGAAAGTTATTGTCAAATTTTATAAAAGTATTTTACAAGTGTAGGACAACATGCGATATAGGTAAATTTTGATATCAGAAATACTTAACTTTAAAAAAACTTATAAAATTTAGTAAAGTTATATTAAAATTTGTTAGAAGTTTATGATACTTGATATAACTTTACTAAATATCATATAAGTTTTTTTAAAGTTTAATACTTCTGATATAAATATTTACCTTTGTCGCATTTTGTCCAACACTTGTAAAATATTTTTATAAAATTTGAAAATAACTTTCTTTCCGTGTTCATACTTGTTCAGATAGTGTTCTCTAAACATACTATTAACATACAACTCGAGTGATTCATTGTTTTCCAAAGCATGTGAAATCATTGTTTAGTAATACTGAACAAACATACAAATGTTTGTCAAAAGATAGTTTCAAGTATGTTCATTGTAAAATATACAATAGTTTGTGAACTTAGTGTTTTCAAAACATGGTATGAACCCTGATATGTATGTCAAGAAAATGTCTTATGACTGTTTACTCTTAATGTGAGTAACATGTTTAAATAGTGTTGAATGAATGATTTACTTACTATAAAAAGTATGTCAGAAGTGTGTTTAAAATATGTTTAATTATAGAAGTGTGTTTCAAGATACTGAGATCTGTGTTTGAGCAAAATAAAACTATTTTCAAACATCATGAAACCCACATTTGTTGGTGAAATTTTCGACAGGGTTGAGATGTCAAAACTTTGGAAACACACACACACTATATCAAAAGCACACTCATACGGCAACTAACACAAACGAAGCCGCTCTACGCTGCTTCTCCGGCATCTAAAATATGACGACGAAGGTTTTAATTATTTTCACACCGGAAGCCACTTTTCTACAGCAATCGCCCATCCAGTTAATATTGAGATCAGTGGTGCCACAGTTGCTCAAAATCCATGAAAAATCAGCATGGATTTTTTGCAACTTACGCATGGTGGTGTGTATGCGTTTTTAGTACGTCTGCTCATGCGCTAAGAGCAACAGATTTCTCTCCGTGTAGAAACGGCCTGGATAAGATTATAAAAGGACTGAGCTGTACGTGTTCTACGAAACTAAAATTGCAAGTGGCTTTTTTACTTCACCTGGTGGGGTTCAAAAACCACTTTGTGATTAAAGTAAAAGATGTTAATAATTCTTATTTTTTCAAATTGTTTATTTATTTATATGAAAATAATGTTATTTTTAAATATTCTATTATTGAAAAAATCTTTTTATAAACTTTATCAACTATTTAAAAAAATTGTATACCTGTTCACGAATTTTAAA